CATAGATTCGACGATGTACGATCGACCGAAAATGGAGAAACTTTGTTTTAATCGCGAAACGAGCGAAATTCGTCGAATTCACGAGAAGAAATACACGAGCAATTAACGCTACAACTACCAACGCATAAAATTTCCATTGGAGATATTACGAGTCAGAGAAATAGAGAAAATCTTTATAATACTTGGGTAATAAATAGGGTACACAAGTTTTTATTTGTATATTTTACGAAGAATCATTTAAGTCTCTAAAAATACACTGTTTCATATCTGTGAAATGTCTAAACGAAAATTATCGATTGATCATTTTGACCACTTTGGTAGTTGTAATGTTAACGCTAACCATACTGCCATTTTACAATACGTATTTTTACCGTAACCGGTACAACGATTACACAAATAAACGTTGCTTTTCCGAAAGAAATATAGATTTTCAATTTATCTTTTATCTGTTATCTGTTGACGCGTAATTTATCTTATTGTGATACGTTATTACTATTTCAAACATTCCTTTTATGTTCCTAATTTTCGTATATTCATGCTTCCAACATAGTATTATAACGTTGCTCTTGTAAGTTGTCAGAATACAATCATTTGATTTATAAACTTCTATAGTAAGAAATATGCCATATCATTTTTTCTTGCTTTTGCAAGTTTTGATAATTCTCTTCTGAGCTCCGAATAGTTCCAACTAACGTCATTCTTCTTTTTCGAAATTTTATCGCCAGTGGTGCATTCACAGCTGTTTGGATCTTGGTTGAGTTCAGAACGAAGGTACGAAGCAGAGAACTTTATAAAATGATGTAAATTGTTGACCGGTCGCGGTCGACGAGTCAGACGAGAAATTATTCTCAATAAAAAAAGGAGGAAAAAGAGAATTGATTAATCAGATGATATAAGAATTTTCATGAAGTTAAAAAATGAACGAAAGAAGTAACAATTTTAAATTAAATTTTGAAATTGGTCATTTGGTGTTAAAATCGATTCAATTTTACTCGTCTGCGTACGGCTAAGGATACTACGGTATTTTCATATTTTCACGCGAGACAGGAAAACTATATAGTTTGATCTGCCGCGATTGTGAGAACACACGAGACAAAGAACCCGCGAGTTTTCAGGACGGAAAGAGCCCGTCTTATTAAGTTATTACGAGCACACGATCGCGACGTTTTTTTTCCATCGTGATAGCTGGAGACAATAATAAAACGTCATCTGAACAAACGGTTGTTGGTTGAAACAATGGCGCGAACAGCCATTGCTTGAAAGCGCGAGCGGCCGAGCAAGCCGAGCATATATACAGTGTGTTTCGTAACTTGTGGGACCCACTTCGGGAGCTGATTGTACGCCTAAAAATAATGGAAAAACGTCATATAAATATATGTCCTATCTTTGTGACGAATACAATGAATTTTATATACAGAGCAAACTCTAGTAAGCTAGTTTTACCAGGGATGGTACATTCAATTTTCATAATAATCATAATTGGGACGAGGAAAATCCACATGTTATTGTGCATTCAAAACATCAACACCAGTTTAGTTTAAACGTATGGGCAGGAATAATTGATAAATTTTTAATTGGACCTTTTTCCCTTAATGGGAAACCAACAGGTACAAAGTACGTTGATTTTTTGAGCACTCATTTACAAATATTAGAGGAAGTTCCAATCGATATTAGACTTCGTATACGGTTTATGCATGATGGAACTCCGCCGCATTTTAGCCGAGTGGCTAGGCAATTTTTAAATCAACACTTTGCAAATAAATGGATTGGTCGTGGAAGTCCTATTGCATGGCCTGCTCGTTCTCCGGATTTGAATCCATTAGATTTTTACTTGTGGAGACACTTAAAATCTATTGTATACGCAACATGGACTGAAAATGCTGAAATACTACGAAGTAGAATAGAGCAAGGCTTCCGAAAAATTCGAGAAACACCAGGAACGATAGAGAGAGTAACCAGATGAATGACAGGACGCTGGCCATTTCGAGCATCTTTTGTAAAAGTAATTAAAACAGAAAATTCATTATATCTCATAAACGAAGACAGACAGGACATATATTTGTAGACGATGTTTTTTCATTATTTTTAGGCGTACAATCAGCTCTCGAAGTGGGTTCCCACAAGTTGCGAAACACCCTGTATAATACATACGTCGGCATCGTCCTCCTCGTCATTGTTGATTTCAGAAAGAATCGTTGGACGAGGAGGTGGTGTGAGAGGCAGATTAGCTGCCTCCGATAACTGTTGCTACTGTCGCGACCGCGTATGGAGGTGGAATGTATGTACGTATGTACAACGCACGCTCTATGTATAGCAAAGCGATGTCGCGTCAGGCATACATTATTACCCAAGAATACAGTGCGCGGGTATTACGTATCTTTCGACATCTCCTTGTTGATTGTTCCCTCGCGAAGATGTTGCTGGCATCGGTTCGCTTTAGAAAGCGTGGAGGTGCACGTTGATGCGTTGAAAAGATCGGTATCTGTGTCATCGCGTAACGTAAACTACCATCGGTGTATTATAGAATGTACCGGTCGGTTCGGTCGTTTAATCGTGCGAGTGAAACTTTGCCTTCTGCTGGAATAAATCTCGCGTTTAACTCGGTTAAGTTGGAAGATCGAAAGTTGGCTCAGACGCTAACGCCAATTTCAGACTTTGAGAAAATGGCATTTCTCAAATGGCTATCAATCTGTAGTAAACGATAATATTACGGTGGTATGTGTTCTACGTGTTTCGGTTGAGAGCGAGCGAATATAATTAATTTGTAGCGATTGTAACTTTCCTTCCTTATGCATTTCCCATACCTACCCGTTGCTGTAGAACAATCCCTCGTCTTGTAACAATTCCCTTATGTAATTTCTTTCCCAGCTGAAAATGTCCAAAACTCCTTTCAGAGTACGATATATTTAGACTTGGAGATGGAAAATGAGAAAAAATAATTCTTCTCAATTCTCAACCGTGGATGAGCGCACCCGCGGCCAATTTTATAAAAAAAAAAAAACTACTTTGCAAACGGTGCCTGCGTGAATTTCTAATTTGCGTGTATTTGGCCACAAGCGCGACATTTGACGACACGACATTAGGTACGTATGAAGATTCCACTTGGGGTACGTGGGTTCCATTCTAAATGCGGGGATACATCCTTCGTTGCGATCAATGATACGCACAACGGCAATAAATTACGAGAATTTCACAGAATCGGTGCAACAAATTACCGGCCAGCGCCGCGTTACGTTGCGGTGACTGTAATTGCTGTGGTGAAATACTGCCAACGGTCCGCGTGATTTAACAAGTTTATTTGAGAAATCATTTTCAGAATAATCTAATGATATCTGCTCGGCTAATACGGATGATGACTTATCCGGATAAAAACGCTGAAAGCCAATTACGCGTAATTAATTAGTAACAAGGATCGCGTTAGACCCTGTGTCTCGTTTCTAAATGTAGTGATCTATTAATCTTTTTACCCGTTAACTTTCCTTCAACGAGAGATATTGCGCGATTAACAAGAGGAATTTTCTTTCGAATTTTAAAACTCGTGACAGAGTTATGCATATATGATTATACATAATATCATATATAATAATATATTATATTATAATAATAAATATATATATATATATATAATAACGACGAGTAAAAGGTGGACTAACGCGTCCTTCGTCGCGTTGCTTTCTTCGCTTATGCAACCGATTCGATCAATTAGGAGTTTATTAGGAGCGACTTTTAGTAGGAACATAGTTTGTCTGAAAGTTTCAAAGTCCGGCTGAAGCTGGAGGGTGAGCGAGCCTGCTCGAGGACACTCGCGCGATCGAAATGAAACGGAGCGAAAATGTAGAACGGAGCGACAAGTAAGTAGGAAACGTACGCGGTGATCCAAGGCGCCTTGTCTCTCAAACTATACTTGACAGGCGGTGCCAAGGGAGCAACTGTGCTCGAGCGTTTTAACTTTGAACACGTACCACGAGCATCTCCCGAGACGTACTACGTCATCGCTAAACGTTTGCGGCTTGTCATCGTAGTAATTGACTTTCTCTCCTGGCAACGATGAAAGAAAACTGTCGTAGCTGCACGCTTGTCTACAGTCTACGTTAATTAATCCTTTCTAACCCGACCCGTTCCAAGTTTTATCCGTGGCAATTTATTATTATTCGTCGGACGAAGAAAGTGCCGTAGAATGTGCTTTCCGAACTTTATTTGTAGCACACAGACAGCGATTTTTAAAAAGACTCATTAACCATTAAATAGAAATGAATGTCTCAATAAGTAGAAATGCGTTCCATAAGGGAGAAAAAAGGAAGAAAATAGAGAAGAGAGGAGAAACGTTTACAGTTCCCTCGGTATCGACAGCGCTTAGACGCTTAGACGCGGAGATTGTACAGAATGTTATACAATATATCGATAATAACGGATTGTTTGACGGACCGGACGCATTCATCATTCACGGGCAGCTTCGTTGTTGCTTGATTGAAAATTTCAAGGTACGCTTCGATGGGCATACCTTGAACAGCAAGGGGACGATCATTCATCAACCGGCGGACCGGTATTACAACCCTTATTAGATGAGTAATTTCGTGATCGTGCCTATTAGCGAGTCAATCAACTGATTTGCGCATGATTGAACGATAATGCCGAGTCTTCGTTTCGGATAATTGCATTCTCCATTCGCGCCAAATTGATTCGATAGTCGTGTTTTTCGCGTCAGTTTCGTCAGGCTCGGATAAAATTTTCAAAACGATCTCTCAACATATTATACGACACGGATGGATTCATTTACAAAACGCAGGAATCCTTCAGTCGCGAACGTGTTAATTACTTTGCAACTGGAAAGGAAAAAATGTGGGAAGTGAGTTTGAGAGAAACGAGGAAATACACGGAGCGTGATTTATAATCGAACGTAAATAAAATCGACGAAAACTTTTTTAGCCGACCGAACGAAGTGAGGCTGAAAATCGTATAATCAGTTTTTGTATCTTACAAGGACTTGTTCTTTGTTTCAGATGGAGCGCCAGTTCCTGCGGACGCTGTTGAACACGAGGTAGGAAAAAATTAGAAAGAGAATACACGCGTTTTTCGTCTGTTTAACGAAACGAGGAGAAAGTCGATCACTTGATTTACTTCAGAGAAATGTTATTTGTTGAGAATACGGTTTCGCGAAAAGTGACTCGTGTTCCGTTATAATTTCACAATTTTTTATCGTATTGATATATCAATGACCAATAAAACAACAGAGGAAATTATTCCTTTTGACAAATTACACGCGATCAATCAGTTTGGGCACTTTGTACGTCGATCGAGAAATTTTTGTTTTATCGTAGCTTGATTCGCGTGATAAAACAACGCGATCCATGGCTTCGTGTCAAACGCATTCCGACGTACGGTGCGTGAAAAATTCTTACCTTATTGACGTTTCGCGCGATATAAATGGCAAGATTTATGAGTCTGTCATATTACGCGAGACGTATTTTTCAATTGGAAAATTGCCTATGCTCGGGCGAGTAGGATCTACTACTATGTAGATCGGCCGCGAGTGAATCGAGTTTTGAACGTCGTGAACACGTTTCTTCTTTGGTGCATTGCTGTGTATTTAAAGTCGCTCTCTCGTTACGAAAGAAGATAATGACGCCGATTAAAAACGCACGAATTAACTCTTGATGTAACTGTGGCAGTACGCGCTTAGATTATCGTCTCGCAATGTTCTCTCCCCTTCGAACAAAGTCTGAGCAAAAGTGAAACTGATGCTCGCCGCTGGTAAACTTGACGCGTTGATCGTACATACGTATGTACGTACGACGGTGAAAAATATTCGCATCGAGTGAGAAATATATTTTCGAAGCTGGAAACTTGTTGCCATTAGAAAACCATTAGTTCCAAATACTTTGATAAATATTCCTCAAAGGTTGCAACGTGATCGTGTCTCGCTATTCTTCCTAGTAGTACATTTTGCAATAAAAATTCCGTGGAATATCTAGATTTCAAGGAATGCCATATTCGCTGGATTATTTCGATCAAAGAGCAAAGGATGGAATTTTAATGAATCGTCGAGCGAGCAACAGAGCGTCGACAAGAAACAGGAATAAGGGGAAACGTCAGCTCGGTTTCTAGAGTCGAAAAGACCAGCCTCGCTCCAACTCGATCAATCATTATTGCAACGTGCCGATCATTTTGATCCGGAATCGGACCGAAACGTCATAGGTCGATATCCCACGATCGTAGATCGTGGTCAAAGCGCCGCGTCGAGTCGAAACGAACTTTGCTGCAGGATTTTCCCCTACATTTTCTCTCTCGCGTCAGTTTCACCTGCGCGCTGAAGCTTGCAACCGTTTCATTGCGATACGATTGCATTTATGCGTACGGTGGTACGGTGTACCATCTATTCAAATGATGGCGAACCTATGACCTGCGGGTCAGACACTGACCCACGCGTTGATTTTTATAAACTTGTCATCATATATACAAAAGAATTTTAATTATTTTTCGAACCCCTCTTTTCAAAAAATGTTCAGAAAATTACAAGTGTTCGGTTAGAGCTTAAAAGTGAGAAATAAATGCATAATTGTGTTTTATGGAAGATTTACGATTTGGTTATGTATACATGTGGATATTTCAAGTTTTAATACGAGTTACTTGTGTCCAAAAAATTTTATATAACGCATACGATTAAACAGATGTAATAAACACTGAACAACACACTAGATCCCATTCTCAGAATGAGTAGCTTTGCTAGTTTTTTTATATAATAAAAGAGAGAAACAGACAATAAAAAATATTAAGAAATAAAGTATATATATATATAGTGTATAGTGCAGGGGTGACTGAGCACGATGTCACCCCCTTTATATCAATTTTTTCGACGTTTATTTTTCGCTCTTCACTTGCAAAAGTAAAAGTTGTCAAAAAGGAAACGTAAACTTTTTAAAGGATTATAAAAGTGAAAACCAAAAAAAAAGTAGTTTTTAACCATCCTACCCTGCCCCTTTCCAAGTGACGCCACTGACTTAGTGACCCACGAGCTAGTACTAAAAAAAATAATGAACAAAATTTGACCTACTTCTCAAAAAGGTTCGCCGTCACTGATCTATTCTATAGCCTACAGCTCAGTAAACTGATTGCCCTTAATACACGTATAATTTACACAGGGGGGGAAAGAGAGGACGTTGCGGATAATTGGATTCCGCGTGCAGAAACGTTGACTTAATATAATCATCGGTGAGTCGCGTCGCGTCACGTGATTAATTTCCGTGCTGTAATAACAACATCTTTTTCTTTATTTTGCGATCACTCGATGCATCGATCCATCATCCCTACCTGGAATGTTCTGTGCCTCGCGATCGTTATAATACGGCTGATTTGTCGTGATTTCGATCTCTTTCGACCAAACAATCCTTTCACTCTGTGTTACTTCATTCAATGCCTTTCCACCGTCGCTTCATTATATAAATATCGGGGAAAGAACGAGAAACGTTTCACGTCTGTACGGCAAATAGTTTCTTGCGAATTCTCTTGGAAAATTTTTCAGTTCATCGATCCAGCCATCTAACCGACAGCGGATACGTGAAATTCTGTTACGCGGTTTTTCCTCCGATAAAGCATCGGGAGAACGTTTGCTTTCGTTGCGAGATCGTCCCTCGCGTCGATTTTTCATCACGATGATCGTTGGATCACGAATATTTATGCAATCGATGGAAGTTTACAGTACGAAACACATCGTGACACGAGCTCTACTCTGATGCGACAGGTAGAATAATAGCGATAATAACGAAAGAATGATTCGTTTCTTCGATGAAAATCGTTAATTAAAATGGCCGATAGATCGTATCGGAGTAATTTACTGCGACGTTTTCTTCTCGTCGCGATCAGGACTGTTTATACGAATAATCGCGATCGCCTCTTCGCACACGACACAACAGCTCGTCTATCACTTTCATTTACGAGGGCAAAAGTTGCGTGTTCGTCGTCCGCGAATACTGACGCAATATTCGCCTCGTAGGTAACTCGTGGAAAAAGCAGCGCGCATACGTTAACGTCTCTTTTGCCGGAAAATGTTTTGCGCTTCATTGATTTACAACTTGCTACATCCGCAGCCCATCTGAAACTTGGTTTGCGACTTTATTTATGCCCCTACGTGTAAGAGTAGTTGCTTGCCGTCTCCGAGGAAATACGGTTCCACCTTCTACGCGTGACGGATAAATAAATCTTCATTTTCAAATGTTATTTAAGTAAAATCTATTTCAGAGTTTAAAAAAGCACGCCTGCAAACACGCACTCGTTTTGAATGAAATTTAGTTTGAAATAACACGATACACACGGGATAATTTCAAGGGGAGAGGAAATGTTTGTTCGTACTAGAATTGAGATATTATTTCGACACGTTTGCTCACAATCAGCTGCGACAAATTAGTAACTACATCAACGTGCCAACTTGATGCAGTGTCGTATTATATAATTTATATAATAAATTGTTACATAAACATTATATAACAATTGTTATATAAATTGGTACATAAACAATAACAGTAAAAAAATATTTGGAACAAAATCTTTTATCAAAAAATTCATTTTGACGTCGTTGAGAAATTGTTTGTTAAAGCAATGCCCTGAAATTAAATTTATTGCTTTGTTCTGCAACGTATCTTAAACTCTAGACACGTTTCTCAATAATCACAGTTTCTTATGATAAACATATCTTGAAACATACTTGAGAGGCAAAGCTGTTGGTCGTAATACGCGGTATAAAGTAACCAAAAATCGGGAACGTGTTAAATGACAATCGTAAGATGCTCGATGATCGGTTCGAATAAAAATTTGGTCGTTAGATCGAGCGAGAAAAACGTGACGGTGGAAACGAGCCGAGGGATGATGGAAAAATCCGACGAATACAAAGTAAGCGAGTACAGTTAGAACGCGAGTAAGTTGACCTGACATATTGGTAACAATGCTAGGCGTGTCACCGGTGTGTCGCAACTCGTTCGCTCGGTTTCAACGACCAACGCGTCTGCATCGGCACGGACGCGTGAGCATATCTCGCGTCCGCACGTGCACGTTCCTCCGGCGGATACAACAATGTACGTAGGCACGCGTATGTGTATGCCTACGTAATGTCGTATCGGACAACGCAGATACGCGCGCGGTGCCAGCCAACTAGTTTTGCAGCCGGTCGTCGGCACGAAGAAGATGTCTTAAATGTCAAGGCGAGGACGACGCGGCGGAGTTGTCCTGCTTGAGGATAGATGAACGCGTCCTCGCCGTTTATACACGTTCGGTCAATGAGCTCCGCCAAAGTACGTCATACCTCGCATACCTCCGAACGAACAACGACGAATGCGATACAAAAGCGTTCACCCGGACCCGATGAAATCGATCGATCGTTTTCTCCTAACTCGGAAATTTCGTTTGCGTGTTTCAGGACTCTGTGGCGTCCGCTTCCGAAACGGGCGAAGAGTACGAGGACAGCGACGATTCGGACATGTACATGGAGCCGGACGGTGCCGAGACTGAGACCGAGACCGAGACCGAGGCCGAGGCCGACGAAAGCGGCAAGGAACAGCAGCGAGAGGAGCAAACAGACGAAGCGGACACGACCGAGCAAGCTCCGTCCGAGGTGACGGAGAAGACGGAAGAAGCAACAAAGTACAACACTAGTAGCCGCGTGGAACCGAGAAAGTCGAAGGACCAGCAAGCGGAAAATACCAAAGAAACGGGCGAAACGGACGAGCCGGACGCGTCCTCACCGGAGGAGGACAAGAGCTTGGAAACTGACAGTCAAAACTTCTTCCCCTCGTTCGCCGAGTTGTTCGCGAATCACCGACTTTCTTTCGCGGAGCAGCAGAGATACAGGCCGAACAGATTCCTCGGTTACTTGCAACGCGATCGCAGTGGCTATCAAACGGCGGCCGCCACCGCGAAAGACCCGCTTCTTCATCATCCGCTGCTAGGATCCGGGAACTTTGGCGTGATCCGAGGCGGCACTTACTACCCCGAGGAGAAGGAGAACGACGAGTACGCGACCGACGATGGCAGCCCGTACAATCCGTACTATCACGGCGGAAGTCGCGGCCGCGCCAACTATCTGAGAAACCCGAAGCCTCAGCCGATTCGCGGCGGCGATTTCTTCGCGAATTTCCGAGACTTTGCCGACATCACGGCTCCGCCCAAGTCCAGCTTCTCTCACCTGTCGGTGGTTTACGCGAACAAGAACGACAGCAGCAAGAGCGACGCGACGTCAACCGGCCGTATCACGGAACCGAGGAACATCATCGAGACGCTGAGAATGTTGGAAGAGGAAGCGATGATGACGGGCAGCGAAGCGACCACCACCGAGCCACCGCCGAGGAAGAAACAGAGCAAAGGGAAGTGGAAGTTGGCGAAGATGAGACAGTACGAGGAGGACAAAGCCAGGAGATCCCGTATGACCGTCGAGCCACTGTTGGCTCTCAGTTGAACGTACCGACAGCCAGGGTTCGAATTGTACGATAGTGCGCGGACGCGAGCATTTCGGGATCTTTCCGAAAAGGAAAAAGAAAAAAAAAACACGCGGCCACGAGATATAGATGTATGTATATATCGGAACAAACAAAGTCTGTAAAGTGTTGTCTCGTCGCATTCCAGCTGTATGTACATCACGTGGATTTGGTGTTTGTGGTGAAAACAAACGGGAGACGTTCCGAATCCTCTTCTCTTTCGGGTCATCAATTTGTTGTCAACGGGTTCTGGGACTGGATCTCTGTATCGGTGCGAGGAATGCGTTCGTATATAACGTAGATTTCGTTCGTGCGTTCCGCTTCGTGTTCCTCGATTATCGGCGTCAATCAACGTAAATGCGCGCGTACCCACCATCGCCACTCTGCCGTACTTTTCAATTCCTCTTGGCAATTGTCGACGATCTGGGCGTGGAAACCGCGAGTTTTCAACGATTACTCCGAATCGTTTATCGGCGATAAGCTGTCATTTGCGTCGTGCCGTTTTCGCTTCGTAATTCAACGTTTCGGAGACGTTCTGAGAACTCTAAAAGCGCCGAAATACAGGTTACCGTCGGATCCAACTGCTAATGATACTCTGGGAACTCGGTGTTTACTGAAATTATGCGAAGATTTCTCAACTCGGTATCGATACACCGTCGAGCGAACACAAGCTCGCGTGCGATGGAGAAAGCAGTTCAAACGGACAAAGTATGACTCGATATTCGGCCGCGAGTTCAAATTGGATTGTTTCATTAATCGATTTTCATGGAGGAAATGTTTCAACCTCTCTGAATATTCACGTTGCATCGTATTGCGAAAGAGCCGCGTTGAGAAAGACAGGGAGAAACGCGCGACGATTCAAAATCGAGAGCCCGACCGATTAATTTCCCAATGTTTGCGTGGCCGCGTGCGAGTAGCGAGTCGGCAGGCTGGCGTGTTGCGATTGTGTCAAACTCGTTTATCGGCAATTCACGGACACATTTTAAATTGATTGAATGCACTTGCGCCGTGCACTTTCGTTATGCTCGAGTAAACCTCGGCCCGGTACGAGTTGTGATCTCCGTTCATGGACTGCGCGCCGCCGTACGCACGTGATCGCGTGCGCCGAGCGAGAAAATCTCTCGCGACGCCCCGTTATCGTCAGTCGCGAGAACGGAGTCACGCGGAGCAAAGAAATCGTTGCAGGAGCGTTCATTTCCCACTGTCCGCGCGCGCGTCGCCTTTTGTAAATAAATTTCATCGCTCTCTGCGCCATTTGTTTTCTTTAGTGTTTTAGCTAAAGCGGAAGTCCTCACTCCCGCCTTCGTTTTCGACGAATACGCGTTTGTTCTGCGTGTTCAGCTCTCAACCAGTAAGATCCATCGTAGATGACTAAATTTCCACCTCTCTCTTTCCCTTCTTTCTTTCTTTCTACGTGCAGACTGTCTCTCGCTGCATTCGTTAAATTCGCAAAGACTGTTCACCTGTTAATTAAACGATCGGCTCGACGTGGAATTGTTCATTTCTTTTTGTACAAATTAAACCAATATTTCTCTCACAAAAGCATCTGATTTTGTTTAGACTTTCACTTGCACGAGTGAAAGAGCTTGTCTTGGCGGCACCTTTTTCTAACTCGATCGGAGCAAATCCAAATCTCCTCTGATTTTTCAGAAAAAATCACGGCGAGGATTCATCGTACCTGTACGTTCATAGTAGCGAAGGGGACAGCCGCAACAATGTCGTTCGCTGTAGATTTCGTTACACGTAACAGTTGTTGTTGATTGTTTTAAATACTATACACATACGTCGAGTAGGTATGATAATTAAATTTTATCATCTGTGTCTCGTTTCATGCAAATAGTGTCGTCTCGCACGTTGCCAAGAGACACGGGACATCGAAATAAAGTATATTTTTCCTAACTTACGTGAATGTGAAATCCTGCTACGATCATTTCCCACGATATGTGTTCGAAGATTCTGTTCCAAAGGTAAGTGGACATGTATATTATAAAACGAAATATAATTCTCTTCAAAATTATTACGTTACTATCGCTATATTTCAAGCAATTGACAAATATATATATATATATAAAATTACAGATGAGCAGTGCACTTGAAAACAAAAATGAACTAGAAAAACGAAATCTTACGTTCACGGTCAAAAAAAAGAAAAAAAAAAGGAAGAAAAAGACGAATATCAAAAGGACGATACGTTTGTTAGTTGATGCTCTTCTTCAACATGGCAATCAGTTTCCCTATACCATTGTGAACCTCAGCGAAAGAAGCAGAATTGTACATCCAGGCTGGCGTACTAAGGACGTTGTACTTTTTACATTTAGTTACTCCCTTCACGTTTCTCATCTCTATTTTGGCTCCCATATTTCTGGCCTTCTTAATAGCATCGGCGTACGGCCAATCTTTCGCCGGCGCTAAACGGAAGATTGCACGATCGTGTGAATTGCAAGAAAAAACTATTGTTCGAATTGTTGGTAGAGCAAATATCTCCGTCTGTTTAACGATCGAGGAGTACAAACGTGAAATTGGGAAAAAGTCTCTCTTGAAAACTTACCGTCTTTCCCAAGCGTGATTTTAACGCCCTTCAACACTCTTGCCACGAGAACGCTCGCGATGCAAATCGACGCAATGGGTTTCTTCTCGCAGTAAAAGTCTTCGATAAGTTTTTCCAAATCGGGGAGCACGGTACAGTCGGCTCCTTTTTCTGCAAAGTTGCTCCTTTAATAAAATAAATACCTGATATGAATCCTTGCACGTGAAATTGATCGTCGATGGTAAAAAAAAATAGCTGTTTCTAATGCACGTGGAAATCCTCTAAACTTATTCAGACTGTCTCCCCTGTCTAAATATAAGTTTCAATCGCTTAGTTGATGGAAAAGAACAAGTGTTACATCATCGTGCAATTTTGTCAGGATATATTTATAGATTTATCGAATGCACGAATAACGAACGAATAAATGACAATGATCTAAATGGAATTTCATTTCATTTGGCAATGAATTACTTTCCCGTCACGGCTGAGGCAAGAGCGCAAGAAACTTTGAAAGAGGAATGTTGAAGAACGAGCCATTCAATTTCGCGGCGAATAGAAATGTTGAAAGTGCGATAAAACTAAAATAACTAACAATGTCTTTGCCGCGCCAAAACCACCGGGGAGGACGAGTGCCTTGTGCGTGCAGGCCTTGCACTCGCACAGCGGTTTTATTTCGGATCTGGCCAATCTGGCAGCCTCGACCATCCCGTTTCTCGATGGGCCTTTCGAATCTGATTGTTTAGTCAAGTGATCGACGGTGTCACAGATGTCTATATCCGGCGCGTAAAAACGCGGCACCATATCTTTCTGGCTGATGTGGATCGCCGACGATATGGCCTCGGTTGTTTCAGTACCATCTAGATAACCGCAACCGCACAAAATCTGCAGCGAGAGAATGTTTCGAATGTTATGCGAGCGTCGAGCGAAAAAGAATTTTCACAACGTTGCACGTACATATACGCGCTACGTGTATAGATGTAAGTATAGTATACTTACTACGGCCACGGATACAGGTTGGCAAGTTTCTTCCTTCTTCTTTCTGTCGGCGGTTCGTGACGCGTGAAAGCTAGACGATAAAACGGATCGAAAGACGGAAGATTCATTTTGTAACAAAATTTGGATTCGCGTACGTATCATAATATAATATACGACGCGTAGTTAAACGACTGGAGATTTTGACGCGATTGAAACTACGTTTGGCGAGTCATTTTAAAACAGTAAATTTCTCCATTTTATCAATCAGGCGATATTCGCCTGTTTCGCTCGAAAGGAAAAATTTGTACGCGATCCGAGAAGGGAAACTCGACCATTTCTCAAGTGCGTAGTCGAGTTTTGTCGATCGAGAATGGCTTGCATTTTCGGCGGAGAGAGTCGATGCGAAAATTTTCACCGGTAGCGTAGAAAAATGTGCTGGAGAGGGGTGGCGAAAACGATTTTCGCAGATTTGAATCTCAAGTTGCGAGCGTCGGCTGCAGAGGGCAGGGTTTCTCGGAATTACAGCAAGAGCCCTCGATGCGATCCGCGGCAACTACTGCGGCCAGTTGCGATAGGTGCCCGATCGATAAGTCGGTTTCGCGATTCGGTTGGGAGCCGTGCTAGCCAAAGTGAAAATCGGAGAAAAGCGAAAGAATGGGATGGAATGACGGGCGAGGAGGCGGAAAATGAGGGAAAAGAGGCGGATAGTCGGAGGGGATGGAGAGTTCAAAGGCTCTCCTGTGCTTAAATAAACATCGGCAAGGTAGGCTGAACTTACTTTATGGCCCGTATAACCTTTATTGTGCTCTAGGAGCAATTTTCGCTCAGACTATGAATACGAAACGCATTACGGGGAGCGGCGTAGAGATTTAACAACGGCATGAGAAACGGCGCACGCTCGATGGTAAATTTTCTCCAGCTCATTAAAATATATACGACGTAGAAGCGAGACAGAGTTCGGGAGATGAGAAGACGGCCCGTTTTATAACACGCTCGTCGAAAGTAACGAATTGTCGCGTCGGTGCGGTAGCAAGGAACGAACCGCGAACGAACCTCGTTGTAAAAATCTCATTCGAACGATAACAGTTGGTTGTTCGAAGCAAGCCTTTCTTTCTCGACTGATTTCGTTTCGCCAGAAATGGCCAGTGAGATGACCACAGATCGCGCAATCTCGGCCGATAGTAATTATCTTATAGCAAAGAGAGCGGTATAGCCCCGAGTACCGTTTCGTTGGCTCCCTTTTCTGCGAGACGTACGCAGAGCGAACGCATAATCTTATGTAAATCCCGCCGGTTTCCCTTACGCCACGGGCACGGCGTTTCTCTGCAACGGTGTGTAGGAGAAGCAACTTGCGTGGGTCGGTTCTCGGGTTACACGTGGAAAGGGATGCTTAGGCGGCGGTTCGCTGGTACGTTGGACGCGGCAGCAGGCTAGGGCGCGGGGCTTATATGAATGTTAAAATAAGTTTGAAATTGTCGCGGACAAGTTTAGTCCCGTGGGAGGCAGCTGTCGAGTAATTCCACTGTGCCGGCGTGGCGCGGCGCGGCCTCGACGGTTTCGGCCTTTCGCCGAGTTTCCCATCGCTCGCGAATTCGCAGCAACTTTTACACTTTGTAATCTTTTCTTCCCTCTTGCCGATCGCGCATTCTTTGTTTCGTTTAATCGGCTCGCGCCGGTGATGTACGTGATGGGCTATACGTAGGATGCTCGTTCGCGTAATTACAGCGAAGAAAGACCGCCGAGAGTCTGTGTGCGTAGGGTTGGGAGCAGCAGTCGCGGAAACAAAGTTGAAGGAAGCGACGGAAAGCGTAGTCGTTGGCAATATTCCCGGCGACGCGACGTTTTGCCGAATGACAGGCTGGTGACGTTCGTCGAGACCGTCGCCGACGCGTTCGTCGGAGGAAGGGATCATCGTCGACATTCTCGACTGGTTTAGTTTAAATCACCAGTTCACCGTGAAGCCGTAGGACTGGTACGCGTAGCCGGGACGATTTTCGAGGGTCGTCGGGGAGTTGGAAAGGGTGGAAAAGGGAGAGATAGAGAGAGAGAGAGAGAGAGAGAGAGAGAGAGATGAAACACCGAGTGGGTGGTTGATGGGTAAATGCGATGTGATGCGAGTAACTGAGTGGCTAATTGAATGAGGTGCCTCCCAGGAGCGTCGAACCGTCGCGTGTCACACGTCAGAATTTCCGGGCTGGGAGCCCAGAAATTACGACGATTGTCGGTTCTCTGCCAATTATCAGCTCGCGATATGATTGCGGGCGGGATCGCGCGCGATTCCGCGAGTCGTTTCTCCGGATCCGGATATAGCTGGCCGAGCGACAGAGCCGGCCGAGAGAGGAACACCGAACACTGTCAATCATTAATAATCCATCAGGCGTATCGATGGTTCGATCTCTCCACCGATACTCCGATTCCGAGGGAGAACACGAAGGGGGAAATGATCGTTTGTCAATTTCTAAAAGTCCCGTCGATTGGCCGTTGAGCCGTGTCACGACGCGTTCATCTATTACCTAGGCTTGCGAAGCCGCCTCGCGCAAGTAAATCGGTTTATCCGCCGAGAGTGAACAAATTGCTCTGCCGATTATTGTTAATTCGTTTACGATGATTGCCACGTCGTTTGTTAAATAACGATGCACGCGAAGTTACGCGTGATGATGAATGAAAATCGAACGATGGCAGAGCGAATGAGTAAAAGTTATTTTAAATCAATCAAACGAGGAGAATTTCGCGTTCGATTCTACTCGTTTGAGTGAATAATCGAAAAGAATCAAGAATTGCCACTTTACGATGATTAAAGAGCAGCGTGGAAGAGAGCGTGAGAGCGTTGAGGGGCCGAAAGGAGCTGTGATTTTGAGAATTGGCGAGCGTTTTCGGGGGACGCGATCTCTCGGAAGAGAGATGGAAGAGTAGCTAAGCGCAGGAGAGTTTGCAGCATTGCGGGCTGCTAAAGCAGACTGCTTATGCATTCTTGGCGCGATGGCAATCGGCGGGGATGGCGGATGTTGGCAGGGGTTGGATGCCGTGCGAGAACCAGACAAGAGAACAATTACGCGCCGTCAGCCCCGTGACCGGTACGATGCCATGAGGCGAATCAAAACTAGGTGTGCTATCACCCCTGGGCCAGCTCCATCTTCGCGCACCGAGGCCACGTTCCTTGTCCCGGAGGGGAAAGATCGAATCTCGATCGGTAAGCGAAGTTGGCAGTTTCGACGGCTGCTCCGCACCACCAATTTACGTAGTCTTGTCACAGGCTAAGTTTACGCATTTCTCTCTCTCTCTCTCTCTCTCTCTCTCTCTCTCTACACTTTTCCTCGCTGTAAATGCATTTTTTTTTTCTTTTTTGTTAAATATTTGACCATGCTGTTGGTAAAATTTGCAAATTTTCGTCCACGTGTCCA